TTCAAGAGCACTCACACCTAGTTGTTAAAAAGAGCTAATATACCATCAAGCGTTCTCTACATTAGGTAGGTAAGTAGGGTTATCTAATAGGTATCCAAGGCAAATAATCACAAAAACCAGAACATTAAAATTACTATGAAAAAAACATAAAGGGCTGTTAAAAGATAAATTCCACAAATATATATATAACTTTGAGGTCAAGTAAACAGAAGGACATCTAGGGAGTTGTTTATCCTATACTACTACCATGCTATACACTTATTCCAGCGTTTCATGATTTATAACTACGTAGGTACCTAGGTAACCACACCTATAGTCAAACCCAAAATCGTTTATTCTTTAGTTAGTCATCGCAGATATAATTGTCTTTAAGAATTTCCGAGAGTGGCAAGATAATGAGTTCCCTCGTTGACTACATAGCGACCCCGCCACTCCCATGAATCTTGTTTATCCTATTTTGCAGTAATTTCCACGCACGCGCGGGTTACTTCCCGGTCCCCCGCAACAAGCCGCGATCATCGCACATGATCAATGTGCATCGCCAAGAGGCTTGGACTCTAGGTACCGACTAAGTATCTACCGTCTCGACCTAATCTTAAAGATAGGCAGTGCACACTACATGAGACCTGGAGATACAGTACATAGCATAGCACCCCAACCTGCTGCGCACATGTACAGTATGTTGTGCCTACCCGCTGGCCCGCTCATTGAATTTCCCTCCAATGAGTAACTGCTGGTAGATTCTCTACGCATACTGCGTATGTATGTATGTACATGTAGGTATTCGCATTTTTGGTTTTCAGCCAGTAGATACATTACCTAGCATTTGCCGTTTACCGTTACCCTACTTGGCAAAGCTTATCACCCGCCAAGGATGTCTTAGCACCACTCGAGACAACCAATGCTCCCGATACCCGTCTTGGCTGATTCCAGCATAAGGATCAACGACAAGGAGCCGGGCGGTTCATGTCTACTGTAAAGAACGGGTGTGATCATGATGCAGCGAAGCCACAATTGTGTCAATGTTCACGCCGAATTTCTCGGATTCGGCTAGGTTATGGTTTGGCTGTTTACCGTTTGTTGTTGTTGTTGATCATTCCCTCTATGTGTGTTTCGACTCCATTGGCTCTTGTGCGTGATTATACCCTGTAAGAGTGTTTGATAGTCAGTGTTGGAGTAATGTACGTGTTATCAACCAGAGTGCCCAAATGGCGTATCACGGGGCTTGAAAGTCCTCGAAAACAACCTAAAGTATTTAACCAGCTTGGCCACTATGTAAAACAATTGATATTGGAAACCCTCATTGGAGTCGCGAGCAGTCCATCACATTGAGATTCCGTAGTTTCACGATCGGCAACTATTCGGCACAAAAGCCTTGACGGCGTTTTCTTCGGAAGCATGGACGGAACGCCCCGTTGAACTGTGTAGCAGTCAGACAAAGCTCGGGCCCGGATTTGCAGGATACGTGCAAACCGGTAGGCATCATATGATCAACAGAGATGGCTACACTACATGCATTGTCTCTCACATGCATGTACAGGTGCCTACGCAGTAGATACTTAGTAGTTAGACCGACGTATTTTTGTACCTGCCAGGCAAGCAATCACATCATGGAACGTTTGATACTTGTCTCGCCTTCAACCAAAGCTAATATCGGTATTCTTTACTACGTAGTACTCTAGGAAAAGAGTTCAAGACCAAAGCGCTCCTCTATACTACTTCCAATGTCTTGCCAATCTTCTAGGCAGTTGTTTGACTAAGTCAATTTCAAGTCTTTCGGGTATAAAGATGGAGACATCGTCATATAGCGGTGTCAACAATTTGCATGATTCTTAAAACCTATTTCACGATTTTGATTTGCCATTACAAAAAGGCTACCCAGATGCTCAAGGGTATGACTTAACCTCAGGAGATTGGCCCTGATGGAACGAACTCCCCTGACAACCAAATGCAGCTTAAAGACAGCAAAAAAATTATATTGTATGAGCCGATTTCCAAACTTGCAGTCAACCAACGTGAGGTCATAAATTTCTCAACTCTGAATACTAGAACATCACGAGTTGAAATAGGCGGTCTTTGGGACTGCTCAGGATAAATGAAAGCAGTATATGTACTACATGTCTAGATCATACTCTGCAGTATTCGCAACATGTGTGTCGACAGTAAAAGAGAAAAACAACTTCACTTGGCGCTTTACACCATCACCTCATAGACATCTCGTCTTAGGTAGCCATTACTGACAAAGAGAGAGGCAATATTGCTTAAAAGATTCTTCGCTGTGTAGGAATTAAGTGAATATTTAAGTTCCGATAGCCTCCCCTTTGACTATGTCCTCTTAACCAAATTCCATAGCAACTCCAGGACGATCACTTTCTTAGATACCTATCTATCATATTTTCACCCCCCGTTTGTTACCAGGGATCTATTTGATCAGACCTCCGACCTCAAATATGTGTACCAAAGTAGCGAAGCCGAGTGGCCAAGTCCAGATCAGAATCGCAGATGGCACCACACCTCCACTGATAACTGTTCATCGAGAAGAAAAGGCCATGAAATTTGAGTATAGAGGAGTCGAGAATGCCTTAACTCTCGATTTCCGTCGTACCATCCGCGTCCCGGACAATAAGAGAGACACCAACTTGCTGCCCCCGGACTTGGGTCAATTTCCCATCTATCTAGTTCAGGTTAGTATTTCCGTGGCTTATTGCTACATTTTCCTAACCGCCGACACCCCCATATCCTCCTCCTATATCATTATTAATGCTTCAACCACAAAACCGTCAGCCCTATTCACTCACAATTGCAAACTGCAAATTAGGATTACATCAACCAGGTCCCAGCCGAGGTAGCCGTGAAGTCTGGTATTTTCTTTACCATGTACCAGCGGGAGGCGATGTGGATCAATTTCGCAGCCCGTTTGCCCTTTGCCGTCAGGGTTTTCGTGGGCGGTATCAATGCTGTCTCCGGGGAACCCATGGACAAGAGAAGAAATGATGTGCGCGAACGGGGAGAGTCGGCCCAGGACTACATGGTCGTGCCAGGTCAGCCCTGGCTTGACGGGATTGTGTGTGAGGACGGCAAGATACGCCAATTCGTCGCGCAGCCCAAGGACAATGGGTTCTCCGTCGAGACACAAGTCACTGGCGAAGACGCCGTTGGAGGTATTCAGATTGAGATCATTCCTATCAAGTGCGTGGTTCCGAGGCAGATAGAAGTGTTGTACAAGAACGCCAAGCGCAAAAGTATCAGTCGGAAAATCGACCTTGAGAAGATAGGTTTGGGCCCGTCATCCACCTGGAAAGAGCTGAAGCCAGTGTTGCAGCTCGAGTTTGGCATACCTGTCGACCGGCAGGTTCTATATCCTCACGTCGGCTGGAACCACTACCTGCCTATAAGAGACGATGACGAACTCAACAAATACTACTTCGCGCCTGGGTTTGTTTTGGGTCTGAGCCATGACCCTCGTGATGCTAGACTTCCTCAGCCATTTTTTACTAACGGCATGACTCAACATGGAACAGGAGATACTATTACTAGTAAGGTGGCATTTTATTTAATCGTAGTCATAACTTTTTCGGAATAGCAAGGCTCATATCCTTTAATAGGCGGAATGGGACAGATGAGCATCGCAGCTGGCGGATTGAGTAAGAAGCTTCCCGGCCTCGAAATTCCTACCCTCCAAACAACGAGAAAATGCGTGGAAATTGCTGATCTTTCTGACAATTAACCAAGTCAAGCAGACTATTGTGAAAGATCCTAATCCTGCCGACAAGTGGGACATGAACGCAGCCATTCTGTTCCATGTCCATATACTGGACACGGCTATGTTTGCGGCTGTGACGCGCAAGCAAGTACCAAAGTCACCCATCAGTGCGAAAACATACGCAGAACGTAAGTGATTATCTATTCTAAAATCCACAAGCCCTCAACTCTATCTCAGCGAATTTCTCCAAGAGAAAACGGAGCTGATTGTTTTCTTTCTCTTTTACGTTTTACACCATGACTCCTAGATATCGTCTCCAAGCCACCATTACTGACAAATCAACTAAATATCATACAGACGCCAGCCCCTTTTTCGCCATCTGGGGCGAGGAGCCGACCGGAATCAAGGGCAACTTCGACAAGGTGAAGAGCATCGCGGAGCTCGAGGAGCTGCGCGCCAAGGCTAATGGAACTACATACGTCGAGGAGGAAACTGTACCTCAGCGCGTCGCGATCATCGGCACCTATAAATCTACCTTCAAACCAGTTGGTATCCCTACACGAGCATTGGCACGGGTACAAATCTAACACACACTACATTCGTGGGATGGCGCTAAGTAGTAGGATCGATTCGGATTTCTGTTGAAATCTTCTTGTGTGGGAGTCTTACGCCGATATTCATGGCTAGACATGGGACAAGAATTTCAAACTGCTTGGGAGGAGGGAAAAAAGTTTGGTTTTGCGTTAGAACTGCTCGTTTCATCGGTACAGACGGATAGACTTGGGACAGACGAGATCAATTTTCATGGGTCATATTCAGAAAGACATGTTACAACTTGTCACACATAGAGGTTGACAAAATACAATTAATTGTATTATGATACGCGATGCTCGCAACTAGACTTAGATTTTTGCGCGATAATGTATACTCATAGCACACACACACACACACACACACACACAAGTGAGCGGTTTTCCTTTAGCATTGCAATTCGTTGCACTTTATTTTTATCTTTACAATCCTCTTCTTATACGAAGTACATTTCTTTCTTTCAGGAAGCCCTGTTGCTATGTCGCTTCGGAGCACTTGATCTCCATCCAGCCCAGTGTGCAGAACACCCAAATATAATCTTCATTAGCGGTCCTTACAAATCTTAGCGTACTAAATAACATAGCAAGCAACTTATTACTAAATAATCTCGAACTCCAAACGAATTGCCGAATCGTATGTTGCTTACGTAAACAAGCGATCAGCTACTTCAGTGTATTACAAACCACGCTCGACATCACTGAACAACGGCTGATTGGCGAAGTGGTCTAGCGTGTCACTATACTCCCAGATATGATGACAAGATCAGCTGTTCAATTCCGCTAGTGGCCAATTACCACTTGCTTCACAATCCGAATTGGTGTAGTGGCTAACATTTGACGCTCTCATCTTCATCATTCCGTGGTGTAGGAAAAGTCCCGTCAAGCCCGGGGTTCGATTCCCCGATTCGGAGTTATGAGCCATCTTTCGCGATGAAGGTCGAATTTTATTTTTAGCTCTCTTTTTCTTTCTCTTCCAACCATCCGTACCTACAACGTATAAAATATGTTGTATATAAACTAGCAGTAGACTAGCAGTAGTATTTCATTTGTTAATGACCTTTTTACAAATAGAGAAATCTGTTCTACTGGTAGTGTACTATTCTTATATACTAGTTATCAAGACTTATTTTCAACATTGATAAAGCTAGTTATTATAGTTATAAATAATATTATCTATTGATGAAGCAAATTACCTATTCATTAATCTGTCTAACTCAACTAATCAGTCGACCTAATCCCACAATGTAGAGCTGATGTTCCGGAACTCCCTATGCTACGTTCAACAGCATTACACTCACCATCTTCAAGTTCACCACAATCACGACTTTAGTTCCCAGGCTCAGCATCTTGGACGACGTCGGTATTGATGACGATGTCATCTCTGTCCCTGAAGTGCAGAATGATGGTGACCTCGAGCAGGTCGAGGTCGTCTTCACGTTGCCCGTAGCTGGAACCCAGTATATCTGACCCCTTGAGCGACGCGCGGGTCGACAGCTCGGCCTTGAGGTGACGGATTTCGGCCGTTAAGTCTAAGTATCGTTCTTTCCAGGTACATTCGTGATTTGGAGGAGCGATGGGTGTGGGTTTAGTAATTTCAGGCTCAGATAAGTGCTCGACGAAAGACTTTGTTTCGGTGTGCCCAAGTTCTTGTTGAGACCTGTGAGTTGTAGATATCAAGGCGTTGCCGGATTCTTGCTGACGAGGGCTCGCATGTGAGGATGTAGGGGTGGCGTTTTCCTCACGACTAAGCTGAGTGTCCGAGCGCAGGTGCTTATTCTCAGTTTCCTATCTCTCTATAAGTGACTGCGATAGTCCACTCTCACTCGTAGAGGTTGCCTTGTGTTGCTGACCTTGCTGAGAGTGCGTCTTTCGGATGGCACTTTTGCTATGTCTAGAACTTGCCGTATTTGCCGAAGTGGCTATGTCTGCATGATCTTCAGCGTGTTCAAATATCTCGCGCCGTTTCGAGACTGAAGCTGGGGTATCCCGATGTTTATGCTGAGGCGGGTCAATTCGTATCTCAGGTGTCATGTGGTGTGTTTCAGGTCTCATTAATGGCATTGAATCACGAATTGCTGTCGAGAACACATGTCGTTCTCCTTGGGATTTTTCTTCATAACTGCTCTGAGTTCGAATGTGATCCCCATGATGAGAGGCGAGCTGGCTCCGCGCATCTTGGTGTCGCCTTATGTGCGAGGTACTAAGCGGAGCAGGAATAACTACCTGGTCCGAAGCTTGGCTCGAGCCGCCATGAATTCTCAAAAAATTCAGGTCTTTTCGCATATCAGCTTGGTGAGTAGGGCTCGCCGAGCGATGGGTCGCGTGGCCTCTTCAACCATCGACAGTAACGCTCGAAAGGTAACCATGATCGTGCTCATGCGTCTTGTGATTCTTCGTACCAATGTGGTGTAGTGGAGCTGTAGCATCAGCTGCTTCCTTGGTCGGATTTTTTAACCATGATGGTGTGCTGGCTAGTCGAAGTCTTGGGGGTTCATTATCACACAAAGATACGTTTGAGACATTGTGAATTTCCCTTTGCTCACCGTGGGTAGTGGCTTCCCCTGACACATCCTGTCTTGCCTCGCGTGCGGTTTTCTCGGTTGCAATTCCGGGTAACCAACGGTCTGGCGTACTTGTCGCAGCTTTGGTCGTTAGGGAGTGTTGTTGCCTCCCATTATTCGAGTGGTTTGGGTGGCCTGTGGGAATAGGGTCTGGGGCCCACTGAAACGAATCAAGCTCTATAACTGACTTGGCCTTTGTGAGAGGCTCGAGATATAGCCCTGACCTGATGTTCAGCTTGGAGGGGTTGGGCTTAATTCTTTTTTTATTGCGCCCCTTGAGGAGATCATAGGCGTCGTGGCCGACTGCTGAGGACAGGTGCTCAGCAATGTGATGAGAGCTGTGGAATCCAGCAGAGTGATGGCGATGAACAATATTGGCTTGGCCTGGCGGGAGGTTCGCATCAGGGCCATGTTTCTCGAATCCCTCAGCCCGGGGCGGCTTATTTGAAGCATCCAAAACTGGATTCCTCTGTTGGCTCTGATGTTTGGGGCAGGAAACACTATGTCGAAATGGATAGTGCCCGGCATGAGTTGCTCTACACATAGGATCATCACACTCCATTCCGTTCGCAGCATGTGAACATATGTCTTTCTCCGCTTCTTTCCCCTGGCTCTGTCTATCTCTGATAAGAAACGGGTTTTTCTTACTGAACCGTTTCGAGCCGCTTTGCATTTGTTTATATTGCTCTTCACTCATATGCGAGTTGTCTTTTATAGCTGGCGTGGACTTTTTAGGGAGCGTTGTTTCTTGTCCACGCTTATCATTTCGATTTCGCCAGCTGGAGTCGGCGCGGTGAGTAGATGATCGATTATGCTGTGTGTTAATGCGGTCTTGGTGTCGGCCGTCAGAGGTAGAACAAGCTATCCCTACCTGCTGGCGAAACATTTGCGTGGACTCTAGGTTTGACCTAGAAGCAGATACGTATTGTGATCCATCTCTCGTGATAGTAGGGCTTGGATGATGTAAAAAGTTGGCATGAGCTTGTGGAGTGCCACTGGATGCCTCACACGCGCACCTTTCGCAGAGACGGTGCCCACAGGAGGAACAGTGGGTTGGAGCCCAAGTAGGAGTCGAGCAGATGTGACAGTGTCTGCAATATCTTCGGGGGCTGGCATTTCCATCCCCTGATAGAGATAGGTCCTCTATGTCCGAAAGCCAGCCAGAAGGCCTGCTTATATCATATTGTGTGAACATATCTCGAGCTGACCTCCATTTCTCTTGGTCTGGAGTATTATGCGAGATGGGTGAAACTAATCGCAAAGCTTTTTGCTTTTTAGTGGGAAGTAAGGGGTTAGCGAAGGACGGTGTCCCGTAGGTAGCGGTCGGCAAGGGAAGATGAGCAGGGCTAGGAGTTGTTTCCTTGGCAGTATTAGAGCTATGTTGTCCACTAGACGAGTGCATTTCTGTGAGACCAAATTTGTTGCATAGATGACCCATAGAGAAACTTCTCCGGCAAGAAGGTTGCAACAAGAGTGGTGTCCGACTTCCAGATGTCCGGCCGCGCTGCTCGTCATGTTTATACCGACCACAGCTGTGGAAGACAAACGAGTGCGTAGCTGGAGGCGCCCGAAAATCAGGAATGCCGAGATACTGCGTTGAGGATTTTGTAAAGTGGGAGCGTTGCGAGCGTCCCGAACCGACAGCTGTTTCTATACGTGGGCGATCGGTAGAGTTGGGGTCGTCAGTTGAGTCAACCTGACTAGAAAGTTCGTAGAACCGACGCAACCTTGCTCCGACGGTTCCAGTGGGAAGTGAATCCTTGAGAATAGGGGATCCGCTCCTATTAGGCCGATTCATGATGTTAGGAGCGTGCCCTTGCGGGCGCCAAGACATGACGAGCAACAACCTCCAAGTGGTTCTAGTGGATTTAGAAGTAGCGCATCGCCATCCAGCTAAGCATTTTGTATAAGGAATATGTCTGTAGAATAAAGAGCCTAGGTCCGTTACTGGCTCAATTGATAACGGGAGATCGAAGGGCGATGATTTAAGCAGCTCAGCCGAAACCCTGTTTTGTTAGAAGGGGTCAGTACCGATTTTGAGTCAACCTAGATCAGTAACCACGATAGGCATGGCAAGTAGGAGCATTCACGATCGAAGGAAGCTGCATGCGTGGACGCCAATATGCTCAAAACCTTCTTTATTTGCTCTCGGGAATTGTAGGGAATTATGCTGATGTACAAGTTGATGCGTGATAATTATCCTCTATACAATCTATTTTAGAACAGCCTGCAGGCTCTCCAGAACCTGGTTGCGTCAGTCAAATAAAAGTAGAAGTATTGGGCGCGTGCCTTACCTCTAGTTCGATCTTGGCCTCCGCAATATCCTGCTCACTACCACTACCGTTAACGACCTTCTGTGCCTCGGCGATCTGAGATTGGACAGCTTCGGCGCTAAAATCCTCCAGGGGGTAGCCCTCGGGGGCGTTGATGCTCAGCACAGAGTTTGGCTGAACGGTAGCGAAGCCGCCAGAGACTGGTACTGGATGTTAGTGATCCGTGCGATGCCGTCTCCGTCTTCCTTATACGTACGGAAAAACTGTTTGCTGGAGCCATTTTCCTCGATGACCTCGACGAGGCCGGGGTTCAGCTGCTCAATCGACGGCACGTGGTTTGCAAGAACACCCATTTCTCCAGACTCAGCCGGGAGATTGACCTGAACAACATCGTGCGAAGAGTAGATAGACTGGTGCGGGAATTAGCAGGGTCGGGCGGCAGCGAGGTCGTGGTCACGAGGACGCATCAAAGAGGGTCGCAGTGCTGGTGTGTATTGAGACTCAGTCGCTGGTCTGGAGGCGATCGTACCTGGTGAGGGAGAGACAAGCTTAGCTTGATCTACACAATGTTAATAGAGCAACTCTTGGGGGACGCGGAGATACGAGCCTTGTCGGGGGCGGCGTCAGCGTAGGCCCTTCGCTGCAGAGGCTGGATAGGGAGCCGCATAGCAGCGGGACGAGCTCGCAGAGCTGCGCGGGCGACGCGGAAGGCGTTCATGATGACAGGCGTGGTCAATTGACGAGGTGCGTGACGAGCGAAGCTCACGATAGTCGATAGCAGCAAATTGAGATTCACTGCCGCAGAGACGGAGTCTCGGGAGATCTCGGCCTAGCCCGATTTGGTACGGCTTAAGTCACGTGTTACTGCACGTGATTATAGCCGTTTGGCCGTCGGCTTAGATCACGTGTGGGGTAGTAGCCCTTGGCTTGTATCAGCTTTACCGGTACTTATTCACTATGACGATGACGTAAGTGCCATTACTGTTGGCTGGAGTATTGAGGCAGCTTTCGGCTCTTGATGGTAGTATTCCAGTTGCACTAGGTAGAAGGGAGTCTAACTAATCGGTATACTTCATG